AATGACCCTCCTAATCGTTATAAGAGTTAACTCGGTATGTAAGCGTCATGCCGCAGCTATATAGGATACAAGAGAGCATATGTGCGCGCCACTTTTGCCCAGGCGCGCGTTACTTTATGAAAATGTGTCCTCCTGCCGTCGGCCGGGCTCGCGTCGACAGCTGAATTCCCTCCCGCTTACATTCCGAGCATTTATTTGATTCCCGTAATGGAGCTATACCTACTAGCGACTAGTGTATACGGCCCCTCGCGCTCGAAACGTATAACAAATGTATATATTCGTTGCCGAAGCGGCACATACATATCTGTAGCGCGAGCTTTGAAACTTTTTCAAAGGTAACCAATAAACCTTGAGAAGTTTTTCCCTTTTTTTTATATACGACTCGCAAAATTCGATAGTAGAAAAGTATCGGATAGAAAAAAATACCTGCCGAGTTGGAAGCCGATACGTGCGGGGGTACACTGAAAATTCAGGTCAACGTGTGTGTGTGTGTGTGTGAGCATCGCAGCTGCTGCTGTTTCTGCCATGCTGCTGGATACTCGTGCGCTCCATTAGCTTTTTAGCCTTAAAGATATAGTCTTTAATCAACGCGAGCCTTTTTGAGTATTCAAAGCGTTGCTTCGATTTCCAGCGCTAGCTCTTTTTTTTCGCGTCATCGTCGTTGTGTCGTATGCTCAAAAAGTGCAAACGAATCCCAACGATTTTTCCCTTCTTCTTTTTTTTTCTGTACTCCCAGCTAAAACGAGCGCAACGTTGTTTGCTGCAGCACGAAATTGTTTCATTTGTCATAGTTAAACGACGCCGACGATGTTTTTGCGCTAGACACTATACGATGATCCGCGCGCGCACACACTATAAGCTTTCTTTCCTTTGTTTTTTATTTTCCTTTGGAAATCACGAGGAATTTTAATTAAAAATACTACGTACGTTGCCCTCTCTCGTTCTCTCTCTCTCCTTTTTCCCCTCGTATAAAGGACAGCACCTTTCAACATAGCTACATAAACGTGCAAAATAGGAAGCTTGAATAGCTCGCATATACGCACAGATTGTTACACGCGCGTCCAGTAGTGTAACGATAACAACTCGATCTGTCTCGCGAATGTATAATCAAAAGTCAAATGTAATGTCGAGGCCTCTGAATAATGTTGGTTTCGATCCCTGCATCTTATTGCACGCGCAGATAAACAATTCATACCACCGCTCATACTTATATAATTCATTTCAATACATTTATAGAATAAAGTTTTCAATTTTCTGTGCCCGTGATTGACAATGTATTTTGCTTTTGTGTTGCAGGTGAGTTGCCGAGTGTCAAAACTTTCTTATTCATGCCCGAGCCATCGGAGCTTCATGCACCAGCTGTAAATTACACCCAAGTCAAGTGTACATATATCATGACACGAATATATACACACGAGAGCACACGACTCAGAGAGTAAATACTGCCACGAAGAACGTCGAGATGATTCAGCTCGGTTAAATGTTGTAGTAGCGTCACATGTGCAGAGACTCGAGCCTCTCACTCACTCTCTCTCTCTCTCTCTGTTTCTCTCTCGCTCTGAGCAAACTTGCAATGTATATACACGGGTTTATGCAAATCATCAACGAATCTCGCTTGAATTTTGTAATCGCGTACATAAATACACTCGCACACACGTACACCCACAAAAACACGTGTCCAAAAAAAATTTCAAGATCATTGCGGTTCTCGGTCGAACGATAGGGCTCTGCACGACTATATAAAGACGAAAAAGGTGTGGTAAAAGAATATATACTCCAGCGGCCTCTAAGAATTGCGACTGCTGATGCTCCTGCTGCTACTACTTGAGAAGAAAGAAGTCCAAACTTAACTGGGGTCAAATTGACTCTAGTAGGGAGTCCCTGCATTCAATATGGCGACTTCCTAATAGAGTCAGGCTGACTCCTTTTGAGAATTTCACCGAGGGTCCTGGCTGCGCCCGACGCCGACGACTAATTATACAAAAATAATTGAATGGAACTCATTGTATTATTCATACTTAATTTATATTTTCACTTACGCAGCGAATGCACATATAACCATCTCTTTCCCCTTTCATCACGGTATATTTCAATTTCACACAAAACTAAATTCTTCATCGCGCGTTGCAACACGTCGCACAATATACGCAATATCTCAGAGCAGCGCGTGAAAAAAAAAATTGGAACGAGAGATACGCACACACAAAAAAAAAATCGCTGACAAAGACAGCTGATATACGCGGGGGGTATGTGGGTAAGCTGACAGTTCTGGAAAAAAAAAATCCGCAATGCAGACGAATTTTTACGTATTGGGTTGTTGATCTCGTGACTGGCGATATACAAATTAAAATCTCTCCTCGGCACAGGATGAGCGTTCCATATAATGAATTGAATTTCGGATTGACCTGCGAGCTTGCGAAGTAGGTACCTCAGTAAATTATATGCGAAAATATATGTACAGAGAGAGAGGGACGCGAGAGGAATAGCGTAACTACATAAACAGTATATACAGGTGCAGAAAACCTCGAGTCTTAGTACGTATACAGTCGGCAAGTCTAACTATTGGTAAACGAGCCTCTATGCACAGAGAGCACATAGAGAGTCGTCAGGAGACGCTTGAAGTAAACGTGCGAGCGAGCGACGATATAATATGTTGTGTACAAGTGCGGTAATAGTAGTAGTAGCTTCAGCGGTTAACGAGCAATTTGCAAATAACAACTGGCGCGCGCGATCTCAGTCGAGCGCAGCAGGTATACACTTGCACCGCGCACTCGCATACTCTCGTTTGGCACACACGTATACACACGAAATATGTGTATAAAGCTCCGAAGTAAAAGAGAGAGGGAGAGAGAACGTCATACGTGCGCATACGCAGCGCAGTCGTGGCATTTGCATGTGCACAGGCGACAATCAGGCTGATTGTAGCAACTGCTCGACGCAGCTCGCGCGAATACTAATGAAAATTACAGCGGCAAGCAGTGCGGCGTGCGCGTATCGCTTTATATACATATGCGAAACATTATATATAATAATCAACAACAGCGACAACAACAAAAAATTCGATTCCCCCGCAAGAATACGAAGCGCGCGTTGATGTCGTGTCGAGCGCTCGCGAGCTTTCGTGCGATCAACGGCGTTGCGCGCGTTGAAAATGCAAAATGTCGCACTCGTCGCACAGGCGCGCCGATAAGGATCGTCGTCATCGTGACGTTATCGCGCGGGCAGCTCGATGATACGTGTAGTACTCGAGTCTCGTCCGGCGGCTGACCCGCGCCCCCCGTGCTTCGTGTCAATTTGCGTCCACGGGCCGCGCGCGCGTACACACTAGTGCTCTTGCGGAAGAAGAGCATCCGATTGGAAGCGCGTCGATCGTATGTAGCATGGATATACGTACGGTTGAGTGCGTGTGTACGTGTGCATCGAAACCACGGACTACACACGCGTACAGTCTCGTGAACGTCGCTGTCAATCACACATCGAAATGTATAACGCGGCTCGCTGCAGTCGATCAACCGGTCGCACGCGTATATACCTCGCGCACGATTCCCCCCCCTGCTCTCGATCTCGTCTTGTCCGCGGCAGCGGCGCATCTCCATCCGGACGAGCGTCCAGCAAGAATTCGAGTGCAGCCTCTCTCCCCCTCTGCTCCACCGATGCGTGTGCTCCGACGCCCGTTATGTATATATAATATTCGCACAAAGGCAAAGCCCATACACGTCGCGAGCCAGCGAGTCCACTCGATGAACGCCGCGATGCTGTTATGATCCACGAGGGGGATCAGAGAGAGAGAGAGAGAGAGCTTAATTAATACACACGTACGGGCGAGACACACTTGCTGTCTATTTCACTCTGTCGCTATTTCGTTCCTCTCGACTCTCTCGCGCGCTCTTCATTTCCGACTTTCAAGTGCGATTGTGATACGCGCGTGCGAGACCGATCCATGTATCCTTAGCCAAACGTCAAGCCGAGAGATAATTCATAACATGCGTACACGTGAGCTAGTGCGAACAAATACAGCGCGAAATTTACAGATATACACGATTATACAGCGCTGTCGGGGACGAGTCATCCCTCATTGATACCATAAAGTTAAATCGAAATAATTCGAGTAAATAAGGAACATCGATGACAAAAGTATTTTACGTAACTCTTATTATACGCACGTTGACAAGATGCAAGAGTAATTTGCGACGCGACGTTGCATTTAGCATAGTATTATGAAAGCGAGGCAGGACTTTAATGTGCACGCGCAGCTACTCATCTACAGGCTAGAGTTGGCTAAGCAGCGGCAGCCATCGCCGCACGCGACTGCATTATCTCGTCGAGAAAGCTCCACTTTCATCGCGCGCCCACGCGGCCCTCGACAGCCGTGCATGTGCTTGCTGCCGACTGCAGTCGACGATTTACAATCCACGATATATAAATCGCGTAGTACGTTCCGCATAATCGAGTACTACTGCTGGTTACGCGCTATATACGTATGTATATAATGTACACGAGAGAGAGAGAGCTTATAAATCCGCTCGTCGAGCGCATCTACTTTACGTTATGGCTCGAGGATCCATTTCGAGTGTATATACGCTCTACGCAGTCGAATGACAGTTTCGAGGTTGTCGTACGTGAAACTCTGCATAATGTCTCTTTCTCTATACATCTATATACCTCTCTATTCATTTCTGCTGCTGCGAATGCAAAGTTGCAAGGGTGTGCGTGTGTGTACGTGCCACAGACCATTAGGATTTGTTATTGCAGAACTTCGATGTAATTTGTTTTCGCAAGTTATGTGACCAGGAATGCGCGCGTATACGCGTGCCGAAGCAAAGTTCAAAGTTACATAATAATTATCTGTATGTGTTATCGTGTAACCTCATCTCACACTTCACTATAGTAATATATTATATTATATTATATACTCATGCCTATATAAAAGCTGCGTCGCACGCACGAATACTATTTAACTTCGGACCCTCGCGTCCCACGTTTGCTTTGACATTTTTCAGTACAACATAAAGAAAAAAGAGGAGGTGCAAGAGATACAGCAAGAGGAGCCGAATCCGCTTATGCGCAAGAAAAAGACGCCCGAAGAGCTGGCAGCCGAGGCCGAGGCGGAGGACGAGGACGAATTGACGAGTGAGTTTATATTTATATAACGTGTCTTGGCCCATCGACCATTTCGTCGCAGTCCAGATAAAGCAAAGCCACGCAAAAAAGCTCGCGTGAAATATAATCTATATAGAAGCCGCGCGCGAGTCCGAGTTTAAAAAGTATATACGCTCGAAGCGCGCGTGGCACGATATTATATTATAGATATACGTAGAATACGTGTACACCGCAGCTATGTGTGTATAGGCAACGCGCGGCAGCTCTAGATTGGCAATATGTGATTTATGCGTTATACGGGTCGTACGTGACGCGTTAAACTAACAACCGCACACACACACACACACACGCGTGGGCCGATCGATGATGGGTTAACGAGCCGTTCGCGAGAAATCAAATAGGCGAATACTGCAGTGATATCGCGTCGTTTTACCTCTCTCTCTTTTACTCTCTCTCCATCCAGCTATATTTCCATGGATTCCCACGACTCTCGAACCTTAGCATATATAAAGCCCAAAACGTGCGAGGAATCGCTTTTAACTAAATACGTGAACGCGTTACACAAACAGTCCTCTCTCGCAGTCTGTTTCTGTACATCGCGCTCCCCTTTCTCTCTCGTTTTCGTGAAAAAAAAAATCGATCAAAAGAATAACTCTACCCACCGACTTATATCTAGCCACGTCGTAGTCCTCGGTGCATTTTTTAATAGACTAATTTATAAATTCCTTGAGGGGAGCGACCCCGCTTCATCACCTACATACATTCATCGCTCGTAACTGCAAAGTCACTCGTGATACAGTCGACGTCAATAGAAATTTATGGACATATTCGCGACGGTTCTATTGCGGTTTTGCGCCGCCGGAATATCAATCGGCTCTCGAACGTTTGGCCCATCCGAACTCGAGCATCATATACCACATGATATAATATTGATCGATCGAACGAATGCAAGCCTTTTGTTTTTCTGTCCTCTCTCTCAACAGAATTGAAAAACACGATAACGACGCAGGTTGAAGAACTGAAAACGCAAATCGAAGGCAAGTGCAGCCTGCAATGAGTCCAGCCGCTTGTTCAGCAGCGCTCGTGCAAAACAGCAGCAACAGCAGCAGCAATAGCAGCAACAGCAGCACCAACAGCAGTAGTTAAAACCTCCTCCTGCCATCGCCGCAAGCTCACGACAATGACGACGACGACATCGCTGAAGATTAGGTACATCAGTGTCGGAGCTAATTAGTTATAGAATGCGCGAGATGAAGTTAATAGTTAAAAAAAAATTGATATTAAATAAATGAACACACCGACACGTTACACAAAAGCACTCGACCCTATAATGTAATAATTAATCTAGAGCGACTCTTCAAGAGGATTAAATTCATCTTGCAACAGAGGAGGAGAGACCATCGATGCGGCACACGACCCAAACAAGCTTTATCCATTTTTGCAGAGACATGCGGATCGCTTCGTTCGTCAAATAAAATAATGAAAAATAAATTTAAAAAAAAACTCAAGTGCCATTTCGACAAGTTTAAGCAAAACAAAAACAAGAGAATAGCGAAGAGTATTAACGAAGAAACTGAAAAAAATAGTAATAATTTGTGGTATTTGAGGCAATGTTAGAAAAAAAAACGTTACAATAAATTAGTTGTCACCCAAATGTTATTCGATTAGAAAAAAAAACGACCTGCACTTATAAAAAAAATGTTGTTACACCCGCGCGCAGTCGTAGAAATGCTTTGCTTCGACCGAGGGGATTATAACATTATTTAAGAACTAACGAAACGACATCTTGTTATGATGACTAAATCCATATGCGACGACAAAGAAAAAACAAATAAATGACGATTAACCATGTATATATTATAAAAAAAAAGTAATTACGCGTTCACACGCTATAAACAAATTGTAATCGCCACCGGCCACGAAGAGACAAACTTCGTTTATGCCAAAAAAAAGTGAATGCTGCAAATTTATAAAGACAAAAAATAATTAGCCATTAAGTTTCTATAGTGATGGAGGATAATGAACATTTTAGAAGAAAACGAACAGGTGCGCAACACACAGTAACGAAGCTATTATGATAACGTATTATACATAGTTGCTAGGTGCGAATCGAATTATAAATATTATTACACGGGAGGAAGAGAAGACGTCACATTAGCGTTAAATAAAAAAGTGTGATAGCTGTTTCGGTAATATAATATATTTCAAGCATTATCAGTAACTAACGAAAAGAGATGAAATCAGCAAGTGAATGCAAATTGTTCTTTTCAACTTGTGTGTTTGTGTTTTACTTGTATATACATAAGTTACATAAAAACCAGACTACGTGTGTCAGTAACTTTTATTTTTCCCCCTACAAATGTGGTTCGTTGTTCTTACAATTATGACTGTAAGTATTATTGCTATTATAAAAAAAAAAGAAAAAAAAAAGATAAACGGATTTAACCCACTGTGAGATAAAGATTAAGAGAATAAGAAAAAGTTATTAATTGAATAAAAATACACGTAGCTGTAATATGAGTGTATGTGCGCATCGATTATATAGACCTCAAATACGCGCTCGAAAGTTTGTAAAAATTATAGATGCGAATTATTTGCGCGCAAAAAAGCCTTCGATTTTCTCAAGCGATGATTATGGTGGTGATGTTGTGAGCGAGTTTTACTGGTGATTGAGTGAGAGAACAATTAGTAATCAAAACGAGCGGAGCGCATCGTGTAAATAAAGTTTTTTTGTTTTCGCGTCATCAGTGCGGTGAAAAAAACATGTTGAATTAAAAAAAAAAAATAAAATAAAAAAAACTGTTGTTACACATACACCGAGGTGATCTAATAAATATTACTAACGATAATCTTGAGATTTAAAACTTAAGAAGTTTCGTCGAGGGCAGTTTCTCTCCGCGTCGACCGCATATTTTGACCGATGTAAAACTTGATCATTGCGACCATGCGACGATTTTATATAAATATAAATGAACACAACCCCGCTTGAACAAAAAAGCTCTTGTACGCGCGGAGCAATGAGAGAGGCGCAAGCTCGACGCGTTGGGAGAGTTTAGCCGAACTTTGTTGAAAGAGAAACGTCGGATATAAACGGGCGGCGCGTCGTATGCAATGCATATGCGCGTCATCCAACCACGTTGTTATTGTTATTGTTGAATATTTATTAAAAAAAAATATTAGCCGTGAACGATTATAGATAATGATAGTAAGAGACGCGTTTCTAACGCGACGTCGCGACTTCCGTAAGATCTTGTTACAAGTTCGATTTTTTTCTATAAAAAATGAACCCGCATAAAAATAAATAAATTAACAGACGAAATTGCTTTAGAGCCTATTTGAAGTACGTTGTTGCGAGTGCACGAATTCCCCCATCTCGAGGAAAAGAAGATTCAAACTCTATCTCTGTCTGAGTCTGAAAATTATACGCGAACTTTGGCGTTGCTGTATCGAGCGTGTTGTTCTAGAGCCTGAAACGATGAAAATATAATTGCCTTCCGATGTACTGCATTCGCGAGCATTACTTTAACATTATAAAACGGGAAAGGCTGCACTCACTTCGAAAGTTGTTTTTAGCGCCCCCTTTTACGGTGATTACGTAAATATAAAACAAAACTTATAACTTGAAAATTATATACTTGTCAAAAAAAATGCGCGAGCCAACCTCTCGAAGAAACTCGCTGCCGTTATGTGCTCGTAAAATACAAATGTACACACGCCATTGATAAATGCAAAAGTACTACTTTCTTAGACGAATTTTTTACGAATAAAAAAAACGAAAAAAAATAAATAATGATACTTTCGAGTAAACGTTACGCGTTACGACACGAGTTATTTGAAAAAAAAATCGTTAGACAAAAATGCGGTAATGAGTTCTTTAAAAAATAATGCTCCCGACGCATCGAGCGATTGCCCTCGGGCCCTCGAAAATACACGTAGAGGCCGTGAAAAAACGTCGTCAGCGGTCTTGGTCAGGAAGATCAGAGTGACTTTAGGTTTGGAGACGCACGCGCGCGCGCATGCGCAATCCGGTATAAGCGGGCAAAAACATTTGTTGACAAAAAATTAATTAACGTTTGAAGAAAAAAATAATCATTAATGAAAACTAGTTCGATGTTGTAAGTATATATTATTATACATATATTATATAAGCCCTGTGCAATAAATTAGGCGTGTACATGCGCGCGCTCCACGAGTTATCGGGCGGCTTTAATGGTTCTCTTGAGAGCACCAACTGCCGGCAGGTGATGCATGCCTTATACATAAAATATTATACATATATACATATATAAATAAATAAATACACACGTATATGTATGTATGCGTATACTCACGTGTGTATGCACGTATGTGTAGATATTTATAAATATATAAATTTTTAGTTAAGCTATACTATACGATACATGATGAAATACGACGACGATGATACACACGGCGATATACAGTTATAAATACACTAGTGCATAATCCACACACACCCGTAAACGTTTCATTGACAAAAAAAAAACAAAAATTAAAAGCCATTATGAAATACATATGATGATGTTATATATATACAAACGAGTTCGAGTGGACGTTGTTAATTGCTGCGTGTGTTCTTTCGGGTACGATTCTGCGAAAAGTGCAAAAGCCAACCGGGTTTGTAAAAGAGGTAAAAAATAAAAACATATGCGTCGATTGCGACTATCTCTGTCAGTTTGATATATGCAATTGTTATAAATGTATTAATATTAAAGTAAATTACAGTCACACACTTACACGAGACACACGCGCACAATATAAATTACCCGAGTCATTAAACGCGTTAGAATTACAAAAGAAAGAATAATAAAGTGATAAAATGAATTATTTCCATAATTTTTTCGGTTTTTCTCAAGTGATCAATGCAGATTAAGTAAAACTAAAAACAAGTAAATATGCTTTTACACGTTTGTACGGTCAGTGTGACATTTGATATATCGAGAAATCAATGATAAAAATTTTAATAATTACGATTAATATTAAATAAATAAAAAAAACTGTTAAAAGTATCCCTGACAAAAATCGAATTTGGACAAACGTAGAAAAAAGTGACATCCACACACACACACGCACATATCCTCACTCACAGCTATAATAGCGACTATATTGAAAGTGTTCATCAACGGCTGTAATAACTGTTTATACCGTAGCTCGAGTTGGATCGGCGGTTTTACGAGACGGCGACGACGTATAAATGAGATTCAAAGCGGCAAGTATCGTAGCGCGTTACGACCTCGAAATATTAAAGTTAATGCAGCTCAGAAAACCTCTATAGTATTCTGGTGCGTGTAGTTAACAAAAAAAGTATAAAGTTTTTTCTCTACCGATAAATCAGGTGCGAGTGCAGTGCGAGACCACGACGGAGGAAAGAGACCTGTGCGAGGCATAGCGACGTACGATGGCATACATAAGATTAAATGATTATGAGGAAAACACATGTTAAACATTTGAAACACACTCAACACACACCCACACGCGGACTCTGACAAAATTTGAAACGAAGTATAAGAAATATTAAGTAATATACATAATAGTAAGTATATTACGCGGTATACAAAGCTGTTTTTTGTATGACGATAGAAAAAAACCGATGGTAAACACGGATAATATGTATTTTTTTATTTCCAATCTACGTGAAGAAAAGTAACAAAAGAGAAAAATCCTTTCCGATTTATAAACATTGACAACAATCGAGTGCGAACGTACAGGAACAACAACAATCAATAAAGTCGAATATTACCCCGAACGCTTTCCACAAAAAAAAAGACACTCTATATATTGTGTGCAGCTCAGCAAAATCTTTCTGCTTTGACGCGTCGATTGTGCTGCTTTATTTCTATGTGTTGCTTCTCTGTCTCTCTCGCTCTATATATCGAGTATGCACTTTGTGCCAGAAAACTAAAAACGAAATATCCCGGGAGATGAGAGATCTGAGTAATTTCAACGCTTCAGTAATTACCATTCCCATACCGCAACCTGGATCATGATTTATATCGATCTTATTGTTAGTTATAAAACAAGAAATGAATTCAAAATACACGCTCACACAGATCAACACATGTTGTATTTACCATCGAAATCCTGATAGTGAATTTTTTCTAAATGAATGTGAAAAAAATATTACGAATAAGTATTACATTGTAAATTGAATTGTTATTCACTGCAGTTATTATATACGAGGTAAAAAAAAATTGATGAAAAATAAAGTAACCAATAAACGTTTGTAAAGTGCGAAAAAGCTTCCGTAGTTAAACCAGTGTCGATAAAATGTTGAATTATAGAGATTAACAAATGTGAACGTAGATTTGTACGAAAAAATACATAAAAATACAAATAAATAAATGATGCTAAGACAATATGGTTCGTTAGATAAACGATAAAAGTGACAGCCAATTTTGATGTTCGTGAATTAATGAAAAATTTTTAACACTGTATGGATTTTCGAGGGTTTAATACACGCAAACAGTTATATAATATTTGCTCGACATTTCAAAAAAAAAAACAGCAAAGTTTCAAACTATATGTGCACTCGTTTCATCAAAATTTAATTTAAAAAATCGTATTAAAACAATGTTAGCATACAAAAGAACTTGTTTCTTACACTCGAATGTGCACCGATATAAATCTACGAGCTACTGCACTCACACAGCTTCCAACTCGAAATCGATAATACTTCTCCACTGGAATATAACTAATCGAAGATTTTTGCATTGCACCTCTCTGATTCAGACTAAACTAATTTTGCCTCGATAATACGGACCGCTCCGATCAAAGTGTGCGCCATTAATCGATCAAAACCGCCCTTAGTGTCTTAATGTAGTTCAGATCGACGTTATTTAAACTCGCTTTAAAATTTTCCAGTCTCTCATTGTTTCCATAAATCTCCTTCTCAAAATTGAAGACAAAAATCGCAATCTGAAAAAAGCAAAGCGAAAAATGTTTTCTCGCGTTCAAATAGAGCTTTCCTCTTTCACTGTCTTTCTCGCGAACGCGATTGAAATTCAAGAAAGCATTAAGCGAAAAAAATCTATAACACACTGATAAATGACTAAAAGCAATGAAAAGCGCGAAATAGCCTGCTGCTTTGTAAAAACACAAAAAATATCGATGGTGAACTATATAATAGTTTAATCTCTCTCGTGTCTCGATGTTGCATGCCTCTATTAAATGTGCTTATTACTGACTGTCAATTTTTTCCGAATGAAGAATGGTGAAGGAAGACTTCTTCATTGAAAAAAAAAATAAAAACTCAATTACCGTTACTGCTATTGCTGCTTTGTAACTTGTCGTCGTTACTATAAAATGAAAAAACCGTATGTATACTTAACGAAGCTCGGTCGGGGAGGCGAACTCTCCAAAGTTATCCGATCAAATTAATGAGAAAAAAGCGATACACGCAACGTATATAGAGTGAGAAGTTTTAATCGTTAGTAGCCTAGCTTATAAAAACAAAAAAAAACAAAGTTACAGAGAAAACGATGGGTATATATAGGAGTTGACGAAAAAAAATCCCGCAAAACTTCTAAAACAAACAAAAATACAGTGATGAAAGAGGGGCTCGCTCTGGCAGCCCTTAGCATATCAGTAAATAATAGTTGATTGTTCGGTCCTTGTTCGCGATTGCTCCGATGTGACACAGACCTACTCTCAGATGCATATTTTTCTAACGCTACACGCAGTTTGCTAGATAAAAAAATTTCCCCGGAGAGATATCGTAATGTATCGCATACATGAACGTTTATGTATTTTTTCACGATTGGCCAAAGGTCTTATTTGATTTGGACCTGTGTAAGATTGCTTTACTTTCATGAATTTACACTCAAAATTGTTCGTAACTATTGACAAAGTTGGTAATTACAATTGGTTTGGTTCGATAGCTGTATTCGTCATTTAAAAAGTAAATCAAAAGTAATAAGTTAGAATAGAGTTGATGTAAAAATACAAAAGGTCATAACCAAAACAGAGAACCAGATCTATAATAAGAAAATGATTCCTCATGGTACCAAATTATACTCGCGAAAGTAAGTAAGCAGTTGCAAAGCGATTATCATAAGAAGAATAAATAAAAAAGAAGCCTATATTTTGTTACGCGAACAGTTTGATGAAAAAAAAAAATTAAAGCTTGCAGAATTTACGGGGGTTTCAACACTATAAAATTAAAGTGAGAAAAAAAGTATATTATAATCGGTATCGTGGTGTTGAATCGAATAGTGACCAAAAATTTACACAAGAGATCAATTCATTGATGGCCGTTAAAACCACTCGTTGGATAACTTTGCGAGATTAACGTTACGAACGCCGGCTCGCGCTGTCTATATCTTCTCTCTATTTCTCTATCTCTATGAAAGATAAAAAAAATAAATGTAATCAATTTTTTCTATATGGTGTAAGATGTCTCCGATAGATGCGATGGGTGAAGATGATTCGAACGATACGTATACCTTTTGTTGGACAGCTCTCTATTTCTCAATTTTTTCTTCTTTTTTCCGTTAAACAAAACGATCGTGTTATTTCTAATGAATTCGAGGGAAAAATCTATCTTTGTCGCTTGATTTGACGCGTTTTTTAATAATGGACAATATAGTTTTTAGTTTTGACATTTTGCGAAGTTTATACGGAATATTATTATGATACGTTGCATTTATTTGTGTATCTGATGGATACTTTTTGCCGGTCAATCGATAAAGTATGCCATAAAGCAATTGAGTGCATTAATATTTATATTTTCATGAACGATTGATTTTTCACTCAGATTACTTCTGTCCAAAACTTAAACAAAACTGTATTCTGCCGACGAACGAAAAATCCAATTAATAAAAAATCTATATATATGTATACAAGAGAAACTATATATATTATGTATATTCAAGCAAACCGATACAAACAATATACTTGAAGTCAATTACTCCTACATTATATTTATTATTATGAAACAAATGACAAAAAAGGTTTAAGAATTATTACGGCGAGATTGTAAATTTTGAAGAAACTGTAGAAAAATGGATTATTCTTGAGTGTAAGAGGCACGAACGTTGAAAGAAAAAAAGAGAGAAATCAAAATATACCAAAAGTTGAAAATATTTAAATTTTTAGAGAGAACAAAAAAAAATTCAATATGAATATTTATTTATGACGAATTGAAATTACAAATGAAATTCGATTGTTATTCAGAAATTAATTGTACGTTTGTTTGAAGCGCGAACTTATTACCAATACGCCTACACAAGTTGTTCGAGTCAAAATTTAAAATTATTATCATTGCTACAATTACAACTACTACTTCTCTTGCTATACTACCACAGCATAAAAAACTCTTGATGTTTTACTTAAAAACAAATCTAGACAAAAAAACACAGATCTCTCTTTACTTGTGTCTTCAATGTTTCTATATGCATGTGTGAAAAAAAATTTCTCTATAGCTGAAACGTGTAGTGGACCTAGTTTTCGACTGTATGCTCGATTTTAGCCGGTAAAATTCAGATGAATTTTTGACGAGTTACAAGTATATATAACAAAAAAAAAAAAAAACAAACGATACACTTTTGTTCACTGCTGCACTTTTGACATGTTCGCCGCTGCTAAACCTCAGTCGAGCAAGGCAACTGATTTTGATTTTTACACGAATCTCAAAATTACGCATGTTTTTTTCTATTCTAAAAACAATTCATCTGGATTTAAATCTACGAGATAATATTCTCTGCGTTTCCTCGCGACTTTCTGGCGAAAAATCGAAATGAAATTAACAAAAAAAAACACACAAACAAATCTTAGCAGTGACATTCGTCTGTATATCTTTAAAAAGAAAATACATTATTTATTGATGTTGTAAATAATAAAAAAAATAAAATGGATTCAAGTAAAGATTGAAGAAAAAATCGTTAAAACAAACTGTTTTTCTGTCAATTTAATGCATGTCCCGTTTACTACTTAATTTTCATTTTCACCACTTCGAAATTATTTACGTTATACACTGTTATACCCAACCACCTTATACCCAAACACCATGAAATTTCCATACAACAATATTTATCATAAATATATAATTATAATCTCAATGAAGCTATGTGCAGAGAAAGAGACTTCGGATGTGCTTCTGCGATCATGGCTTGTCGCAAAACTATCTCTGGCAACACAACTTCTACTACTGTCTATGTCATTGTTGTGCATATAATATATGTGTGTATACATGTGCATCGCTGTTGCTCTAATTTATTGTTCACGTACACTATATCACTGTTGTTTCTCGATGCTTCTAGACTCTGCGCTTTTCTTCTGCTGCTGCTACGATATATAAGTTAATATACGTGTGTAACGTAACAAATATAATAATACATCAAGTACAGACTACAAATTACTCGTGAGTATGGTTGTTGCAAGAAAAAAGCACTGAAGAACTGTGCATTTATTGAAATGATACGACAAACCCACTCACAAATTGGTACAGTTATAATTTTTATTTTCAAGTATACTTGAAAAAATATCGGATGCAGATATAATAATGACTCCGAAGAAACGAGCGAGCTTACGCGTTGAATCCTTTTTTTAACGATAACAAACTATTTTTGATTTCCATCGATTCTTTGGAAAATATTTTCGTACATTAGCATAATCCAAAGGAAGCAATTACATTTTTTATGAAACTCGCCACGATGGTGTATAAAGTGAGATATTACACGACCACCGACATGAGAATCAATCGAAGTATGCCTCGTAATGAAAATAAATATCCATGAATTTAATCATCGTTAAAATGATAGTTTTTACTACTTGTAAAAGTTGCAATGGCTTACAGAAACATATTTTCTGATTTGAAGTTTAAAAACGTTTTTATGGAAATGAAAAAGTTGCGACGAACGCTGAGACTCGTCACCCCAACAATCCTGTTATTGCTGATTTCCATCGGCTTTCGCTTTTATTCACGATTATCTAAACAAGACAACCACATCGAAACAACGACGCTACAAATTGAAGTTATAAGATTAAATTAACTAGTTGATAAAAATATTTTATTCATAAAGCGTAGTTGAAAACTACTTTTAACCTTTTATCCTACCGCTGTTAAGTAAATATATTGATTGATTTTAATTTCTTTCTTGAAAAAAAAAGCGTAAAATGGAGGAATGTGAATATCTTAGAATGTCAAAAGATGATGTGCTTTGAGGTTTATCGGCAACGAGATTCATTTTTTAATTAAAATTAATCACGATAGTTGTTTGCAAAAAAAACATAAAACAAAAAGCAATATCATTGATGCCTATACATATAGGGACAGTCCTAAATTTTTTTACCCCAATGAAGTAAAAAAATAAATAAAACTTGGAAGGCAGCGTTCAACGTTACAAAATTCGACAGATTAGCACATGATGAAAGATCCATACCCAAATACAATTAGATCTGGATTTGGAATGATCTTTGACACCAATTATAAAAAGCAAGAAAGTTTAATCCCAAAATAAAAAAGTAAATCACCTTATTTCCTTCGATTACTTTAAAAATAACACAGGTGCGTACTACATGCAACATTCACATACTGTTCACGACTAAATTTTACGAAATCGTTGAACGACATATAGATTTTTAAAAAGTCGATGATTGTTAGATATGTATAGAAAAAATGTAAATTTAAATTCTTCAAAGAAAACTAAAAAAAAACTGACGATATACAGCCCACTCGACGACGCGCTCGGATTGTCAATAAAAAAAAATATAGAACTTTCAATGTGTCGAAACGTGCTTGATCGACTAACAGTTTGTTGCTTCAGAAAACAGGTAATCAAATATTTAGCATTTTTCAACGTGGCATTTTCGAGACCCAAATTGTGATTTAGTAATAGTTAACGTAAATATACTATGAATATGTCTTTTAAAAATTATATTAATTACTCTGATCGTTAAAAAGGCAGATCGAATGAAAAACGAAGCAGCAAATGTCTTGGCGTTGTTTACCTCGTAGTTAAAACTTTTTAATGCTAAACGTATTGTAAGCACTATTGTAATATTAATTGACATCAATAAGAGTGCATTTAAAGGTTTAGTTTATGCAATATACGCAAAATACATACGTTTATGATATTTAGTTAATATCTCTGTAAAAAATAAAATAAAAAAATCAATGATGTTATTAAATATTTCACAATTAATTATAAATGTTCCCAATCCTGTTTTTGTAGTTCGCTCAACTACGTTCGGTATTGGAAAAAAAACCATAACAACAACAAATGATTGTAATACCATTGAGCTCGCGACTTATATCTGTGCAGTGCCGAACGAAGCTCTGCTGAGCTTGCGAAAAGGTGAGTCGCGCTTCGACCTAGATTCCTCGCGAGTCTCTTACGATTAAGCAAAATACCAATGTCCAAATCCACGGGGCAGGTTTTGTCAATCGTCGTTGTTTCTTTCTTTTTTTTTATTCGTTTTCGACAATAGCCTTCGGCGAATTATCGTCGACAGTTGTTGAACGAACCTCGAGCGTCGAACACGCGTTCGATTTTTTCCATGCAGCTTGTATTATGTTTTCATTTTATACTTTGATAATTAACATTAGTCGTTAAAGTTTAGTGCTTATATAATGAGCGGAAAGGCAGAAAGGGTAGCAGTTCGCAATTGTGCGACAGCGTTGCTGCTGGCCCTATTCACAGCTACGGCAACAACGACGGCGGGAGCAGCCGCAACAGCCGTTACAGAGGAGCTGACACTGAACGTGAACGTCAAGAAACCGCTCGCGGTTGTTAGCGACAAGTTCTTGAGCATAACTTTGGATCCTCTAGTACTGCTCAATGCCGATACTCTTGGGTAAGTTGTGTGTTGCTGTCTGTTGCCGCATAAATGCGCGGCTGTAACGAGCCGTGAATTCATGCGCGTGTACTGTTTCGCACGCTCAAATTTTTTCCTTTTTCTCCACCAACTTGCCTCCTCCTGATTATGGCTCGACTCACAGCGACGTCGAAAAGAGCACGAATTTGGCGCAAGCTCTGGCACCGGCCTACGTGCGAATCGCAGGACCACGCAGCAACTTGCACGTTTTCCAGGGCAACGCGGGGTACCAACAGGACAAGCTTCCGAGCTCGAGTTTCAAATTCACAGGTAATAAAGCGGTAATCGATTTTTCTTCTTTTCTCGCGGACATAAGGTACAATGCGTCGTGCGTTGCTATTATTTGCCGTCGATGATCCGGACACGATCGCAAAAACCACGAGGGAGTCATCGGAGGACAAAAGCGCGTCGCAACACACGACGCACGTATAAGCACACGATGCACAGCGAGAGAGTAAATGTTCAGTAAAGAGCAAAGTTTCGTCGAATTAGATTCGCCTGCACTCTGGGATAGCAGCAAGCCGCAGTGCATACCTGTGTAGCTCGTATATAGAGTGCCCGTAAACAAAGGTGAAACTGCCATCTGCAGTACTCTAGTGCCGTTTGTATGTGTGTGCGTCTACTCTCGCACACTTTCTCTCTCTCTCTCTCTCTCTTTCCGAAATGGGTGTAACAAATGCCATTGGGATAGAAGGATTCGTGCTCCATAATTACACCTATAAAGTTTGCACGCCGTTATCGATTGCCATGGCACACAATGCACTACTGGAACACCGGTGGCTACACAGAAAAAAAAAGTTAAGCACTTACTCGTAAATTTTTTCACGCTTTTTTCTCCTCTGTACAGACAAACAGTGGACCAGCGTAAACGAGTGGGCGAAAAAATCCGGCCTCGAACTGATAGCCAGCGTGGCACCTTTGCAGCCCGATGCAACCAAGGCCACGGCCTGGGATTCGCGCAACGCCCTCGAGCTCATAGCTTACAGCGATCGCATGAACTACAATACCAGCTGGCAAGTTGGCTACGGTAAACTATGCGCCCCCTGTTTAATGCGTTATAATACAAATCGAGATTATCTGCGAATATACGAATAAAAATATCGTGCAGAATGCGAGGAACGCTGCGATATGAGCGGCGGCGAGCTCGGTCGTTACGTGCAACGTCTTCGCAGCATGCTCGACGCCTTCCCGAGATACGCGGCCGGGTCCGTTGTCGCGGGCCCCGACATAGTCGCCTACAAGACGCGTCAGCAGCAACAGTTCCTGCAGGACTTTTTCTCCGTGGCGGCCAACGCTCTCAACGTCGTCACTTGGCATCCGTGAGTTTTGTTTTAACGATGCTGCGCTCGTCTCGCTTTAACGAACGCTATTCGAACGAAAAATAAAATCTGTCGTTCTGTAGGGAATTCGCGGGAGTCAGCATAGATTCCGACGGCGTGTCGATGCACCACGACAATCTAGCCGCCGACAAGGACAGCTTGTATCGATTTTTGGGGCGGCACCTGCTTAAAAAGCCCCTCTGGATTGGTGAGCGATGGCAGTGTATATCTTTCGAACAAAAATATTATGCAATATAAACGAGAATTAATAATTTTTTGCAGCCGAATCTCGCCCGGAAGACTGTAAGAAACAGTTCCTCGGTGCACTCGTGTGGACGAGACGTTTGGGTAATGCAGCCAAGTCGGGAGTACAAGTCATCATGAGACAACCCGAAGATTCGGATTTATTTAAAACATCCCCAGTACGATTTTTTTCTCATATCAATACTTTATTACTAAAAAAAACTCAACAAAATTAACCAAATATAATTTATAGGATTATTGGGTATCGGTACTACATAAAAAATTAGTTGGACCAGAAGTACTCGATGCAAAAATTACTTCTGGTAATAAGACTCACGTGCATTTTTATTGTCAGTGCACAAAAGCCTCCGATAGATACGAGAGAGGCTCTCTCACGATATTTGGCATTAATTTGACACCCACTAAAGTCACAGTCAATCTCAAAGGATTCAAGCCGAAACTCGTTCATAAATATATTTTATTGCCTGGCTACGAGGCCGAAAATAGGATGTTTGTCGAGTAATTATATTCACTTACACTTACAATTTAAGTGTACGATTCCATCACTAATTTAATTGTAATTTTTAAGATCTGTGCTTTTAAACAACGAGCCATTGAATCTCGTCGAAGGAAAAAGATTACCCAATTTTCAACCCGCTATATCGAGCTCAGAAAAAGGCGTAAAAATACGTCTAGCTTCGGGAGCTATAGGATTTTGGGTACTACCCGACATTAAAGTAAGTTTAAATAACCAAAAATAGTGAAGTATCATATTAAAAATTGTGGTTTTTTTTCACAAAAATCAGATTAAAGCTTGCATGGGTACCGAAGATGAATCATCTCACAAAAACGAGATGAAAAGAACTCCCGATCGCCTAATAAGTCCAGAGGTCAAAGAGGAAAATGAATTGGATGACGACGAGGGAATTTTAAATTCGACAAGCATAATTTCTCTCGAAGAAGCTAAACAATTGCCGAGATTTCAGCAGAGGCGATCAGCCATACGGCGTAATATGAAACAAAGAGAACTGGAAAAAGAAAAAGTAGATAAGGTTTTGCGGCGAAGAGATTATCAAATTCCAAATTTAAAGGTACAGATGGAAACTTGACTTTCTTCCAAAGTTCATTATATATAAATAATATATTTATAAAAATTGTTAATGTATTATCAGAGTGGTATCAAGCGAGCAACTGATGATGGCAGCGACGAAGTAGATGAAAGTTTGGAAAAAGACGTAGAAGGCATGGACTCCGGAGAAGTTATTCGAGCCAAGCTTCACAAGTACAAAAAACGTTTGATGGAGCACGAGGAGAGAAAAAGGCAGCGCGAGCTAGAGAATTTATCGAAAAAACGCAGCAGCGAGAAGCAAGAAAAAGTAATTCAATTTGTAACTTTATCACCTTTTTTGTCACATTTTTAAAAATGCTATAAAGCCTAAATTTCCTTCGATAAAATTATAATTATTTAAGTTTTTTTTTTCATATTATTAACTTTAAATCTGATCTAATTTCAAAATTTGTCATCAGGCCCAGGGCATGGACACGGAGAAAGTGATCGAAGCTTTGACATTGATATCCAAAGTAGAGAATGCAATGAAGAGTCTTGAGAAGGAAGCGGGCAGAAGTTACGAGCTCGCCACCCCCGTTGCTGCTGCCGCTCCAACTAGTTCGAAACTAAACTCCAAAGGTCAAGATTTGCTGCTAGAGGAAGTACTCAATACCGAGAAAGCCAAGAGAACCAGCGTACCAGCGCAAATCGAGGAACAGCTCAAAGCCCTTTACCGATTACTCTCCGACGAAAATGGTAAATTACACCGTTGATTGATCACCATGAAATACGTCTACAATTTGGTAGCAAAAAAAATTACATCATTTTTTGTTTTGTAGAAGATTCACAGCGTAAAAGACGAAACCTCGATGAAGCTTACAATCCGTCGAACGATCAATACGTGTATCAATACGCCAATCCGTATCCTGGGCCTGTCTCGAAGTACGAGCAAGCAAAGGAGAGATTTTTGGAACGGCGCGAGGAAAGACGACAGCGCTTTCGCGAGAGGCAAGAGATGAGGCGAGCGTCAAAGGAGCCCAATTCCAAGAAAGAATCGTCGATCGATGGCGTCACTTACGTTTATCCGTCGCAAGTGCAGCAGCAGCAACAGCAGCCGAGCTTGGCTTACGCGTCGCAGTCTATGCCGGCTTACAGCCCGGCTTATAATTATCCGGCAGTCGATCCCAATCATCCGCAGTACGCTCAATCGCAGCAAACGAGGACGTTTTGGAAGAGAGAAAATGCAAATGCCGCTGCGATCGCGCCGCAAGAAATTAGCGATAATTCGAGAGGTAAGACAGAAAATTAATTTTGACATGTGCGTCAGTGTGTATACTTAATGTTAATTTTATTACAGGACTAAAGTCAGATAATCCAGTTGTTGATGCAAACAAGAATGGGACGAAAGAAAAAGCATTGGTTAAACTTATCAAGTATTACGAGAAGCCTCCACAAGAAAGGCAATATGATTTGACTGAATTGAAATCTCAGCCGCAAGCACAATATCAACCCCAAATCGTGTACCCTCAAACAGCGCCACTTGATCAGTCAGGCAAAACACAAGAATATAAGCCAACCAGCGTTGCCCCAAACATCCAAACCGAGCAGCCCGCTACAACCACGAGTGATCGATCGAAACGACACATCGCTGCTATTGAAGAACTATTAAATAAAGAAATGCTATCGGAAGATACAAACAACAGCCAAGATTGTCAATGTCGGGTGATTCGGGGAAGCGAAAATTGCAAAGAGTGCAATAATGACCCAAGATTTAGTTTTCGACATCCTTTGCCTCAGTTCGATAGTATGGAATCACATTATTATCGAAATCCATTTCAAAGGGGTCGCTTTAAAAGACAGATTATGAACCCCTACGCGATCCCGTATTATACCGATGGATTTGGCGCAGATATGATCGAACCGGAAGCTGTGTACAGTATTCAAGATCCCGTAGAAAACAGTGAAATTTCGCAAAATGTGCCTGCGGTCGAGAGCGACGATTGCGATTCAAACGAGGCATCCGAAGTCATGGATTACGCCGTTTCTCCGCAAAACCCATTTTCTCCGACGCCGACGCACGAAACTCAAGCCGACATTGCTCCGCCCAAAGCAATAGAATCAGAGCAGAAGTTTTTTCTTGAATCCGCCCAAGAGTCAATCGACGCAGACAAAGAAAAAGAGGTTTCTAATACCGATATTGCCACCCCGAAGCCTAGCGATGGCTTTGAACGCCCAAACGCGACTTTTGACGAACACAGTAAAATTACTGAACCCGATAATGTTAAGGTGGATCAAATTCAAACAACAGAAGCTCAATTTGTTGCTCCAGACGCGATTGAACAGAGCTCTGTTAAAATCGAAAGTTCTACAGCCGAAAATTCGCCTCAAGCGCTCGACAAGTCAGACGTCTACGCAACTACCATTGCAGTGGAGGAAACTCAGAAAGATGACGTTGATACTAAAAATAAAACTGCAAATGTTACAGAAAACCCTACAACAGAAAAAAAACTTACGAAAAAAGAAAGTAAATTGACCACCGCTCTTGGCCTGAAAACTCCTGTACAAAAATTGATGAATGCTGAGCTAAAAGCAACATCGTTGAAGCAAAAGCCTGGCGACACTTTGTCAAAAAACAGCTCGTCGAAACCAGCCGATTTCGTAAAGACAGCTTCGGGAAAGGTGAGTGTACGATCCGAAGCATTAGCTGCACTAGCCAAAGAAAATGAAAACAAGAGGCAAAAAAAAATGATCGAGAGATCCATGAGGGCGATAGATATTGAAAGAGCAAAACTTGAAGAATTTCAAAAGAAACGTCACGATCAATTGGAACGATTAAAAATCAAATTGAGAGCAAAGCGTGACAAAATGTTGCAGCAATACAAAGAAAAGCTCATTGAAGCTATAATAGAAAATTCTGATTTCGAGGATCACAAACTTCAACGACGAGCCACCGATGAATATGATTCAGACAGAAAGGCAATCGAACGACTCAAAGATATGTCATTCATGAAGTACAAACCTACGCAATATTCAGATCTCGAAGATGATTCCGATGAGATAGACTTTTATATTAGCTCCTTAGATAAAGTCAAGCCTCGAAAAAAACATTTTCCAGAAACCCTGCAGGAAACCTATGCCGATGAATTCGAGCAAAAGGAACAATTAATTGTCGATGGGGATAGTGAACTATCACTTGAAATCCCCTATGAAGAACAAGATTTTAACTCACGATATTTGACACAAGCTGATCAAAATCAAGAACTGCAAAATGATGATACCAATCATGATGAAATTCGAAAATCTAAGTTAATTAAAAGATCTCATCATGACATGCCAGAATATGCTGGATCCGAGTCATTTGATTCGCCAAAAACACAATTTTATAGATACGATGAAGATACAGCTCGATATAAACGAGAAGCATCCCAAGATGTGAAAACTGACAGTCCATTAGCATTTGACTTGGGCTTTGGCAATTCTAAAATTACTCGAAGAAAAGTCGATAATACTTTAAGTGAGTCTCTTAAAATTATTTATTGATCATGTCGAAAAATTGTCCTGGAAATTGATATATTTTTTTCAATCACAGCTCATAAGATTCATAGCAGAAAAAAACGGAGTACAGATCAACAATTTAATTCTGAAGTTACAAATATTCATAATAAGTCATATCCAAATAAAAATATTAAAAAAGTATATAAAAACCATATTAATTCTGGTAAAAATGAAAAATTAGCCAAACTCAAGTCAAAACAATTATTCAATATCTATTCAAAGAGACTAAAGAGATCGGTTGAAACAATCGAAAATGAAAATCACTCGAATTCTGTAGGAAATTCGATAGGTCGTTCTAATGATTTGGAATTAAATGCCATTTGGCAGAATATTATGGAATTGCAGAGAGATGAAGATTTAATTCGTGAATATGACAATCAAACAAATGATGCCGAGAAAAAACAACTCAAAAATTTGTCTGATATTGAAGAATCGACTACAGTAAAACCTTCTAATCCAACTTCGCAAGCCAATATAGAATCTCTTTTAGTAGATTCAATACCTAAAATACAAACTGTTATAAATAGCGAATTGAAAAAAGCAAAAAATATTACTGGTTCTTTTGAAAGTTTCATTGAAAATTTTGATGAAGCCATAGAAAACTCTGAGCAGACCACTTCTGATTTAAATAAACAAGACTTTGAAAACAGTTACATAAATCAAAAGGTCTTTCAATTTATGACTGTCGGAATAAAAAAGTTTTTTGACTTTCTTCAAAACTTTACACAAGTTGTAACACAAAAATAAAATAATACTTTTTATCCTATATATTAGAAAATTTTAGGTTAAAATTTTATACCTCATAAAATTAATATGTAATTGAATATGTATGCCGACATTTTATATTTTATAACATTTGTATTATTAAATTTTAACTACAATAAAAAAATTGACCACAAATAAATTTGTGCTTTCTCTCTGACCAAAAATCACCTACCATATAAAAGAATTTAATTTTTCTATTATGTTTCAAAACTTATGAAATAAAAAGTAAATAAACTTAACAGCTGCAGTTAATCTTTTTTCTACGCGAATCACAATATACAGGCATCTTTTCATTTCCATTCAGTAATAAGTGTATGTAAACTATGATATGAAAGTTCTGTAAATAAAACGTACATTGGCTGTATGAATAAAATTGAGAATACAAATTTACTACTGTTTATAAAATATTAAACCGATCAAAACTTTTAATTGTTCATTGATCTTCTATATTATTATTCATTGATCTATTGTTTAATTGATACTTCGAACAGAATCGTAGTTAGCAAACATTGCGAAATTTTTTTCTTTCGCAACATGATTTTTATGATTATGATGTACTTTCTGTCAAACAGCCTTACTTTATGAGCTCAGTAGTTTAAGAGCTTTCGTGTCGTCAAGTCGCACATTGACCGAATCGCATTGTTCGCTTTAAAGATTCTGCTGATTTTTTAATTACGATGAGAAACTGAGCTGAGTGAACGATTTTTTTAAGCATGGAATAAATGATGGACGAAAATTATCTGTCTTTAAAATGTCGAATAATTATTCAGTGCGTTTTATCATCATTGGGATCTTAATCTTTAATTTTGCAACGCGACTACACTGCTTCCCTTTCAAGTAAGTACATTAGTAACTGTATTTACATTATTGAGTATTAATTACAAGGAAATTATTTTAAACGAGAAGTTATCTAGAATACAAATTAATCGCTTTTTTTATGATATAATGCAACTTATAATCACTTATAAATCTAATGCGTCAGCAATTTAAAGCTCATTTTGTGTAGCTATATTTTAACAGTAGCCTCTTTGTATTTAGCAGGCTTACGAACCAATATAATAACAATAATTATATAAACTCTAAAATAATTTTAATATAAGAAAGAATGTGTATGTAATAAAGTTTTATTTTTTAGGGAAGATGTAGAATCTAATAAAACTAAAGTTCAACAAGACAAGAAAAATACCAGCGGAAAGATTACAAAGAATTTGGAATATATTATACCATATACAAATATTGAAATTTCTGGGAGTAATGAAGACTTTCAAGCGCAATCGTTATCCAAAGTGAGAGAATTTTTAACCCAACAACTAAGTAAAATGAAGCGTAGTCCAATATCGGCTGGAATTTACTTAAAAAATGATGGTACGCTAATTTCTCGCGATTATTATCCTCAGTACATCATGTCTGATGACAGTGAGGAGAAAAATCAAAAAGAATTTATAGATTCTACGGAAATACAATTTGAGTGTGTTTGTGACGATGACAGTACGGAATGTCAAAAATGCATTCAATTTGAAAATGAGAAAAGATTAAAAACTTTAAATTCGAGGAATTTAAATCTCCATTACTCGGCTCCAGATACTAAAAATAAAATCAATCTTCGACAAAGTCGAACACAACCAATGAAAATAAATATTCCTTTTACAAAAAATATTATGATGAAGGGTAATAATAATAAAGGTATAGAATCGCAGAAGTATTTATTTCAACCAAACGAAGAGACGGTACTTCAGTCACATGAAAATGATTTTTCCAGCATAAACTCTCCGTCACATTCCTACGATAAATTTATAGAAAATAATCCAGTTGCGAATTATAAAAACAGCAAAGTTCATGATAACATTAAATTAATTGCTCCAAACAAATTGTCCAAACATAAAGTATATGAGAATCCTATTTTTCGAACCAATCAAGGATCAAAACCAGTAAATCCAAGATCTACGATCACGGGAAGTGCAAGTCAAGTAAATAGTGAAGAAGACCAAGATCAGTTCGATTTACAGGCTTTCATATGCAGTATAATAAATTGTTTGGCCTATGGTAACAAATTTAATTCGAACTCTAAACTGAATAAAAATGCTGCTGTCGATAAAAAGATACCAATTAAAAACCCCGCTACTTCGATTGATTGCTCTACAACGACAAAAGCACCAACAATTGATGTAGCTGAACAACCAAAAAATGGCTCAATAAGTCCCGAAAAAAATAAAGCTAATTATAAAAGTCGATATTTAGTAGATATTAAACCCTTGACTTTGGACGATATTGAAAAATATAATTTATCTGAACCAGAAATAAAACCTGAACAACCAACAAAAACTGTGAATAATTCAAATGCTGAACTTCAAAATCAAAATAATAATACATCTTCAAATGAAACAATCCAAAACGAAGGTGAAAGGTTAAATAAAATTATTGCAGAGAATACTATAAAAAAAATAATCAATAATTTAGTGCCCGGTAAAGCACAAGATCTACTTGTTAATTATGCTAACGAAGAAAATTTACCGGAAATCGTCAATACGACAGAGGAATTATTGCCTGAAATTCCAAATGTTCCAGTCTTGAAAAATCTTTTTGCTGTACCCGAGGTTGAAAATATGATTTTGGATGCAGCTAATGGTTTAATTGGTCAATTACTCGATAGGCCTGTAACGAATGAAATGCAAAATTTGATCAAGAATACATTGCACGATATAGTTGAAACTATACCTTTTCGAACCAACGTTGAGTCTTCGCAAGGGAAAAAATTCAAAAAAAGTGTGTGGAACGATGAAGTGAAGGGCTTTCACGGCAACAGCACGGACGAAAATACGCCTCCCAGAGAAGTTTTCGATATGTTGACAGACATTTTAAATAAATCTGAATTAGGTATATCTTCGGTCGCTCAGCCAATTGCCCAAAACTTGATAGTCAAGGCTACAAAGTATGCTCTCGACAAAAAGCGTGGAGTAATCGATGAATCGACAATTGTACAGGCTTACAATTTGCTCGTCAAACCAAAATATCAATTAAATTCACAGTTCAAAAATTATCCTAATGATCTTAGTCCTAACTCTAGCTATGTTGGAGCTCCAAAACTATTGGATCAAAAGATTACTCAACCAAAAAATCCCTCCAATCCTGATAACGTTCAAATCAACTGGCCAGAATCGATATTTTCAGACAATAGCGAAGATGACAAAACAATTCCTCTAACACCAATTAAAGAAAATGTTCTTACACAGAATGGTTCATCATATACTATCGAAAAACCTTTGCAAAACGAATATCAAGAATATGACGAAGACAAGAAGAAAGCTCTGGTCGAGAGAATCAAACTTTTAACAAAAGACCAAGTTACTGCACCGACTGATAAGAACTCGACTACCGGTATAGGATTCAATGAGCAATTGAAAAAGGATATTTTAGATAAATTTGAAGAACAACACCCGCTCGATAATGATAGTAAAGATCCTAAAAAACAACCAAATGTAACCGTTAAAGAAGGACCGGATATTGATCAAGAAAAAAAAACATCTATTTTGGATAAATTGAAGAAAATTAATCCTCAAACCGTTGAAGATAAGGTACCTGGAATCAATGATGTCTTAAAAAAAGCTATTGTAAAAAATTTGGACGAACTACTTAATGTGACTACCATTAAACCGGAAACACAAAATCCTGGCAATAGATCCGAAATAGATTTCGAAAATTCAAAAATAGTGGCTCCAACAGAAATGGAAATTATACCAGCTGCAAGCATGAACGAACCAATAAAGTATTACTCAAATGAAGGTGTTTTGGCAAATTATCAAAAGTTACATCCTCCAGCGGATGTTCCAGTTAAACAGTCGATCGACAAAGATTTCGCAGGAGAATCAAGTCAACTTAGTAGAATGACAGTAGATCCTGATTCAGAATTGGATGAAATAAAAACGGATTCATTAGAAATTGACCGAAAAAATATTTCAGCCCGAGCTAAACTTCCTTCATACATGGGTAAATTAGTACCCATTGATATGAATAAAAGCCTTAAAATTGCACAGGGATCAAAATTGGAATTCATTGGAGATGGAGTTCGCTTACCTTTGACCGTGCGCCGTATGTCCGACGGAAGTTTTACTTTAATTTTAAATGATGATTTGATCGATGCTGATACTAACATTGATGTTTCTTTAAAATTAAAGAGGCAAATAAATTCGAGTAAGTAAAATATGATAATTAAACAAATTATAATTGACTTGTATAAATTTAACAAATCATGCATTTCTGAATAGTAGCCCAAGTGAATACGACTGGAAGACCCCATGAAAGATTAAAAAACCGGAAAAAACGTGCTTATACAGAAGCTGATTGGGAAAGGAGCCAAGAGGAAATAAAAGATTTGTCGATCGAGGAAATTCAATCCAATCAAATACCAAAACCTGATGTTGATTTTGTTATTCGTAAAATGAAAAAATTACTTCAGAGCCTATTAAGCATGACGAAGAAATCATCGGCACGAACCGAACCGATCATTAAAAAAGAAAAATATCGATCCAACGATCGTAAAGACTACTATCGGTCAGTCAATTCCAACGACGACACTATCGTAATTGTTAAATCGCCGTCTTTTCCTATCAAAGTAGCTTACGATAAACCTAAAGTTAATCTTTTTCAAAAATTACGTGAAAAGCGACGACAGGTCAATCATATTCCCTCGCAACGATTCATAAAACCCACACTCAGCTATCAGCTGAGTAATCCATTTAAATTATTCAATAGCATTGAAAAGTGGAAGCATCCAAACGGATATACCAAGGATAATTACATGTATCAAAAAATAGCCAAAGACGACCCGATCGTGGGTACGAAGACAGAAGTAGTGCAAGATGTGCTTCAGCTTGTGAAAAATCTCGCGATCAATGTACCGAAAAAAATCAATCATAGCACTACATAAACATTATTCAGCATTTTAATTTAATTAAGTCTACAAGATAGATATCAAAAAATATGATAATTAATACACAATTATAATAAAAGAATTGAGTATATTTTCTATAAGTTTCGGTATTAACTTGTAAGAGTATGCACGAATCAATAAAAAGTGAAAAAAGTGTAATTTGTTCAAATAATTATTTAACTCGTTAACCTCACCTAAAATATATTCGAAAGCAAATTTTAATCTCATTCGCGTACGTACTGAGCGTCACATAACAACTGTCATGTTTTGACGCAGCACAAAACCCACCCATTGTTTTCTGCTACTCCCACGAGCAGTGAATTCTTGCCGATAGTCGCCGAAGCAGATATAATACGATGCGTCAGTTGTACATAGAAATATTTACCTTGTAGTTCGTGTCAAGTGTGTATCTGCTAAGTATCCGAGTTTGACATCTCGTAAAAATGGGTCTTTTTGGACGATCGCAAGAGAAAAATCCTAAAGACATGGTGCGTAACAGGCATGAATCATCACGAAATTGCATTATTGAATCGAAATTTTTGTCCCTTTAAATGTACAGGTAAACGAATGGACGCACAAATTACGAAAAGAAGGTTATCAGATAGATCGACAGGTTAGAGGTGAGTCATTCGTGCAGATTTAGAAAAGATAAAAACCTGGGTGATATCTTCAAATAAACAAACGACGAATTTGGGATTTCATTCTTTTTAACAATAATATTTAAAGAACTAATTACTGTCATTTTCCTAGTAAACCAACTTCCTTCCACATTGCATTGATAATTTCAATTGTTGCAGCAATACAAAGGGAGGAGGAAAAAGTTAAGAGATCCATGAAAGATGCAGCTAAAAAAGGAGACAAAGATGTTTGTAAAGTTTTAGCAAAAGAAATCATCAGAGCAAGAACTGCTTGCAATAAATTGCATACATCTAAAGCTCATTTAAATTCCGTTACTTTACAAATGAAAAATCAATTAGCTACAATTAGAGTAGCAGGCTCTGTTTCTAAATCCACTGAAGTTATGCAAGCGATGCAAGCACTGATTAAAGTACCAGAGGTAGCTGCAACAATGAGAGAACTTTCCAAAGAAATGATGAAGGCTGGTATCATTGAAGAAATGATGGATGAAACTTTGTCTTCTATTGAAGACTCAGAGGAAATGGAAGAAGCAGCAGATGAAGAAGTTGATAAGGTACATATTTTTAAATTATTGTGATTGTGTAAAAAGCAAGTATTTACTTAAAAATGATTATCTACTCATATAGATTCTGTGGGAGGTTACTGCTGGACAAATGGGGCGTGCACCAGATGTTGTTACTGATACTCTTGGAGCATCTACATCCAAAGAGGAAGCTGAAGAAGTTGATGATGATAAAGAGCTTGAAGAAATGAAAAATAGGTTACAAAGTCTTCGTAGTTAAATTCTAAAACAAAAATTGATCCAAACAGTTTTTTTTTATGCTCTGATTTACTTAAAGATGCAACTTTTATTTCTATTTTGATAGCTAATAAGTCTCATAAATAATAAGGATAGCTGTGAAAAAATTTCACCTGCACTAAAGTATTAAATACTAAAGTTGTTAAAACGTCATCTTAATTTAACTCAGAAGCATACTTCACAGCCCTGTTTGGATTTTTCAGTGTAAAACATGAAAATATTAAAAATGCAGCTGCATATTTATATCCATATATAATTCAATATTATACTAAAGTAATTACATATTGAGTCTTTGATGTCTTTTTATATTCATAATTTTCAATTAAAGCAGCAAAACATAAATTTATACAATAGCTTTTGCAACTACTTCATTAATTGCGAGAATCTACTCTGCAGTGACAGATGAGTTTTACTCACAAATGTAAATATTGTACATGTATACTCGCTTTTTAAGTACACATAAAACATAATGTATAGGAAAGATTTATTCAAAGATTAATTTTTAATATATTTTCAATTGGAAAATTGAAAGAAATGTAATTTTTATGAATATTTCATTTTAACAATTTTAAAACCAAAAATAAATAAATAGATACTAAATTTATATTCTGCAAATGTTGGTTATATATATTATTTTTAATCGAAATAGGGTAAATAAAAACAATAACAAATTTTGATGAACATTCCATTGCTTAGAAATGAATATACTTTTTAACAAAGCTTCTGTTAACTTACAAATAAATCGTTTTTCAGTCTCATTTATATTTTTTTACATTAGCATAATGTTTCAGTTTCAGTCATTCACTATTACAATTTATATTGATGAAACTTTAACAATATTGTGTTACATACTAATAAGTAAACTTTTGCAATTTTTTTGAAATACTAATAAAATAATTATGCTCATGCCATAACTTCTCATACTCAACAGTTGAATTTTCATAAAAAATTACTTAAAAATTTTTTAATATACATCTTATGTTATGTATTTATTACTCATATAAATCTGAATGAATTGAACTATTTAACAGTAACTTTTTATTTCTTATGGAAATGATCACATTTGAATTGTGAAATAATTCAGTTTAAAAAATTGTCTTATAGTTTAACAAAATATTTTTTAAAGTTATAACGATTCTATAATTAAAGAGTATCTATTCGACAAATTATTCATTGATACATGTTTCTATATTATTTTAGTCATCAAATAGATTCTCTTTTAATATTAGCATTTTTTCATTATATCATTTTCATTCGTTCAAAAATTAAATGCAATTTTTGACAAATAATAATCATGTTACTCCTTAAAATTTGACTATAAAATATAGTCATTGCTACTATTCATTCTAAAAAAAAAATATTCATAATTTATCAATCACCATATTAACTATACCTAGTTTCACTCGTGCTTTTGTTTTTTTTGGTAATCTTTTCAATAATGGTCTTATATTTAAGTAAAAACGTCTTAATTCGCGGTGTATAGGCAACAGTATTTTTCTACCTTTGGTAGTTTTTTTAGATTTCCAAGGAACACTACTATCAACGACATCTTCACTTGCTCTATCATCAATTGTTTCCTCTGCAACCGATATTGAAGTTTCTATTAATTCTTCATAATTTTCATTGTATGTTTCTTCTTGGCATTGCAAAGCTGGTTTAATTATTTTTTCTGAATCAGTTCCATTTTGAATCTCATTTGGAGACAATTCATTTTTTATCGCAACTATTTCATATGGTTGAATTGTAAGCGGTTGCAATTGTTTTGGCGTCATTTCTTGATCAGGTATTACAGACATTTTATTTTGGTCTGGTAAGTTAATTTTTATAAGTAACCCTGGAGGAATACTTGCTAGACTTTGAACTGGAATTGGAGCTCCTAATTTTGAAATATCACCTGAAAACGGTACTATAACTTTGTTTATACCTTGAGAAGCTGTGTTTACAACATTATTTGAAATAGAAAAAGAGTTTAATTGATTATTCATTAGTTTCCAATTATTAACTGATGGAATAGGAAGTTTTTGTGTTATAGAATGAGCAACTGAGTCTATTTTTGGTAAATTAATGCAAGTTGGTCTCTTTGATTTCCCTCTTTTTTTAGCCAATGGTGCTGGTTTGACTTTAGGATCAATTTTTGGCTTCCTACTTGATACTAAAGGTCGTACAACTTTACTTGTCTCTCCTTCAACAACATTAGAAATGTCCGTGGAAATACAAATTTCATCTTGAATTCCTGATCTCCAAATAGTAGGCACTGCATCGCAAGGTCCATTGCTATTGAAAAAATTTTGACCAACTTCAAAATGAGCAGAACAAAGTATTAATTTTCTAATTTGATTAGGAGACATTTTTAATATGTCTTCCCTTCCTAAAAATTGGCACCATTTTAAACACCGTCCAATTTCATAAGCAGGAAATGGATGAAATTTGTACTTTTCTTTTTTATTTTTTGGATCATTTCTTAACCGACCACAAGCTGCACAAGCTTGACTATCTAATACAGTTGCAGGCAAAGGGTCCAATAATATTTCATCTTCTTTAGATGAATTAAATAATATTCCACTTTCAATAGCATTAGTAACAATAACTTCAGTTTCAAAGTCCATTTGTTGTTCTTGATACTCATCTGGAAGCCTTATATTAGGAACCGCTGATTCAGTGAGTCTATTGCAAAATCCAGGCATAAACTGAGTTTTATCAAAATGTTTTGAGCATATATAACAGTACATTATTTCTTTTCTTGTAAGTCTGAAGTAAGAATCAACCCCAACAAAATCTAACCATTCCAAACAACGAAATTCTTCACCTGGAAAATGATGAAAAGTTGCACCATCATTTTCTGGGCCTGGTGGATCTTTGCGAAAGCGACCACATAAAACACAACCAATTTTATATAAACTCTGTTTAGGATCATAAATACTGGGCACAGCTGCAGAGTTTAAACGATCATTAAATTTAGTAACAAAATCAGAGGGTTGAAAATGTTTAGAGCAAATCATTCTCTGAAGAAGTTGTTTCTTTGACAATGCATATAATTCTTCTCTACAACAAAACTCCAGCCACTTTTTACAACGAGACTCATCACCAACTGGAAATCCGAAAAATGCATAATCTTCTAATTTGTTGTTAGGATTCAAACGAGAACGACCACAGACGACGCATGGATGAGGCATGTTTGAATTTTTCTTCTATATGATGAACAGGTGGTTTATTAATTTTTTGTTTACATTTGACAAGTTACTTTTACCTATAAGAAAAAACTGGTTTTTCGATGTGAAAGAACGTTCATTTGGTTTTAACATAACTTTTGAAAATTATCAATACCTAGCAAAGTTTAGAAAAGTGTAAAAAATTAATTCGATAAATTAGCTGCATCCCCTAACGAAAGTTGAAAGAAATCCTCAAGGTTGTCTTTCTATCTGAGAACAATACATTTTCTGCATTGGTCTTGATTAATTGTAAGCTTGTAGGTTGTATCGACTAATTCAATGATATTTATTATTTTGTTGGTGTATCACTCGAAAACACCGATAGCAGAGTAACGAATAACGATACCAAGGTTATGATTATTTCATTATCTATATTTTGAATTGTGAGTTTGATTGCAAAAAGTTGGCTAACGTGGAAATTCAAATATTTGCTCAAAAAACAATTCAAGAATTGTAAGAACTTTCTATATTCTACCTACAAATATAGAGCATTTAATAATTTTATTTTTAATATTATAAGTTTTTCTTTTACCGGATAAACTGAATCTGTTTTTTTAATAAGTACATCACTATTACATTTTACATTACATTACAATTACAATCAGCACTGCCAACCATAAGAAATTTGAACATTCGTAATCTGTTTCTGATTATGTGGATGACATTTCTGTGCTGACAATTTCTTTCTGCTCGTCCACGACTGACTCCGAATCGAGCGTTTGTTTACATTATGCGTTCAAAGTAATTTTATATAGCTTTATAAAAAATTAAAGTTCAATTTCAGTTAGAATGGCGTCCGAAAATTCAAGCAACCCTTACGATATTAATGGGTCTAATTTTAATTCCGAATTGTACATTCAAAGATTATTAAAGGTATAATCATCAAGAATCAATTTGACTTCAGCTTCACAACATACCATATGTATTTTTGCTTTTACTTATAGGAATGCAGTTTAAAACAAATAATGGATCATGAAGCAGATACTGTTTTAGATACACAAACTTTACATTCTGACATGCAGACATTGGTGTATGAAAATTACAATAAATTTATTGCAGCAACGGATACTGTTCGCAAAGTATGTAATTTATTATTTATCAAGTACTACTTTTACTGAAAAGTACAGCATGTTATATATTGCATTATATGATTTATTACAGATGAAATATGATTTCAACCAAATGGAAGAATCAATGGAAAAGCTGGAAAAAAATATGGAAAACATTACAAATTTATCTGAAAAAATTACAGAAACTTTATTACCTGATAGGCAGAAAGTTATCAAGTTATCATCAACTCACTCACTTTTGAAAAAACTACAATTCATTTTTAAATTACCAGAAAATCTTAAAGAAAGAATCAGTGAGGAAAATTATAGTAAAGTAAGTTTTTCTTATACTTTGAATTTTACAAAAACTGTAATAAAATAAAATATTTCTAGGCTGTTCAAGATTATTTGAATGCACAGCAAGTTCTTAATCAGTACGGTGATATGCCATCATTTCAAGGAATTCATAAAGATTGTGAAGAAATTGTTGAGGAATTGAAAACAAAATTACGTACAGAATTTCACAAAAGTGAAGCATCAACAAAATCACTAACCGAAAGTGTTGATTTACTGTTGCAACTGAAGGAGCCAGCAGATTTATTGTGTGAAGATTTTCTTTCTCATGCTGATGTACGACTAGCAAATCAACTAGATTACCTAAAAGATATGCATGAAAACGATGTTATTGAATTTGTTGATTTTGGAAGTAATGGTTTCTTAAGTGATTTATGCTTGGTTGTAGCCTCTTATAAAGATATGTTTATGAATAGAACTCCACAAGATGTTCATGAATTTAGTGATGATTTTGATACAAAGGCAATATCACGATTAAATACTTTTGTAATGAACAATATGAAAAAATATTTTGAATTGGTTGCAAAAAGAGTAGATAATGTAGCGGACACTGCAGTACTTGTCAGAGCATTAGATCGATTTTATAAAAGATTGCAGGCTATGAATGTTTTGTGTGAAAATACTGATTTTGCAAGGTATGGAAAATAATTTGAACTTGTAATACATTTGAATCATCTATATTGATATATTTTTTTAGGACTGGCACAGAAATAGTAATAGCTGCTGGTAGACGGCAATGCAGAAATCATCTGTCTAACTTGAAACAACATTTACACGAGACTTTGGCTAAGGTACGTCAAACTTTAGCATCAAAAGTTTCTTCAGACACTGATGGAGGTTTACCAGAACTACAAGCCATGCTCACTGTGCCAATTATTGAAAAAGTTAAAGGAGTTTTACAAGATCTTTTGGTTTGTTAATATTTTTGAATGTAATTTTACCAAAATACAAATTTGTGAACTTGTAAAACATGATTATGATTTGACTGCAGGTATTCCTTCAACCAGAACTGTCATTTGGGCTGAAGCCTCAATTTTTACAACGTTTTTGCGTCGATGAAGTTCGAGAAGGTTTAGTTGTTGGATTTTTACATCACATGACAGCTACTGCAAATGGCTTTTGCACAAATTTGGATACTCCAAAGTTTCCTGCAACATTGCTCCTGCTGTTGAGTAAAATGTGCCTCGAGTTTAAAGACACCAGTGTACAATATCTAGTAAGTATTGCTGGGAAATGATATCGACTTATTTATTTTACACAGATAATTAAAACATCAATAATGCAGTTAACATCAACGGACGATTTATTCAACATTGAAGAATACGCAGTGACCAAAAGTGATCTGACCCTTCATTCGGAAATCAATGAAAATTTCCAAAAAGCAGCTCAAGAACTACTTAATCATTTCGTTAGGCTTCAAGGCTTGAACGTCTCGCAAATGCTAAGGAAATCGGTGGAAACGCGCGATTGGCTCCACACCATCGAGCCACGTACCGTCCGAGCCGTAATGAAGCGCGTCGTCGAGGATATCACAGCAATAGAGGCTCAAGTCACTGTGCTTTACGACGACAACGATGGCCAAATCGATCGCAGTAGCGACAGCAGCCGAAAGACTCACAGTGTCTCGAGACATCAGTACAGATCCAATTGGTCCAGTTACACTCCGAGCCATTTGGATTCCTCGTTTGTATCCAACATTCACAAATTATTTTCCGAACGAATCGAGATATTTTCGTCGGTTCAGTTCAACAAAGCTTCGATCTTGACGGGGATCATCAAGATCAGCTTGAAGGTAAACAGGTTTTTATTTAACATTAAATTCAAATATTAATCAGAATTTAAGGATTTAAAGGCACAAATGATTTATAATTATTTTATTTGCCGTAAGTAAATTCTTTAGATTTAAACTATGATTCAATATGTTGCAGACTTTTTTGGAATGTGTAAGACTGAGAACCTTCAGTAAATACGGACTACAGCAGATACAAGTAGACACGCATTATTTGCAGTTATATCTTTGGCCCTTCGTTAGCGATGAAAAGTCAGTGCACAGGCATAATACTATGATACATCATTGAAAATGGTTTTCCGAATAAAAAACTAAACGCAACATCATTCGTTTGTTTTACAGTTTGGTGCACTTTTTGCTGGACGAGATACTCGGCAGCGCGGTGCATCGTTGCCTCGAGCCCGTGCTGATGGAGCCAAGCGTCGTTGACATCATCTGCGAGAGAAACTAATGCGCTCCACTCCAGCGCGGTTTCGCATTCAATTTTCAATTGGATAATAATACGTCGTTCAGCTTCGTGTACATGCGTCTGCGTGTGTGTATGTGCTTGTGCACGACGACGTCCGAGCGCGACGATGAAAATTAGCGTATTTTTCTCCTCTCCGGGTGTGCGTCTATTACGAGCAAACGAGCGAAAGAGAGAGAGAGAGAGAGAGAGAGAGATAGTGAGAGAGAGGATAATATATATAAAGAGCTACTTGCGCATGAAAAGGACGGCTCACGATTTTGCTTTGCGCCGAGTTTGTGTTGTGCACATATTATTCATTATATCCCAAGAGGCCCCAATGAAAAAGGTTGCAGCTCGACGACCGGATGCCATGTATAATTGTTAATTCTATGAGGACAGAGATACGCACCGTGAACGGGGACTTTTCGAGATCGTTTGACCATTGACCTTTGTGTGCAATGTACTGCTGCTACTACTGCCTCTGGCTGTATTAGCTGACTAGCCAGATGCTTTGATACAATTTCAAGCATGTTGAAAATATCGAATGAAATTGATGTACATATACTGTTGAATTGGCATATTTCGATCGTTGTAATAAAGTATTAATTATTTTAAGATTTGTCACGAATAAAGTTTTATCGTCAAAGCCACGAATAAATCCAAAGTATTTTTTAATTTAAACAATTAATCATTCCGGGGATAGAGCAACATCGAGAAAGATTGAACGATTGCAAACAAACACACGTGCGAGAAGATGCCCGCCACGCCCGTGAATTCGCTGCCGAGACGCTTCGAGACGACGTCGCGCGGTGTATAGAACGCGAGAAATATGTGCGCGGGGAGGGTCATGCTGCCGGCAATACGACGACTCATAAACGGAGCTATAATAAGTCGGGCACGAGACGCACATCGCGGCCCTATATCATCGATTTATGCATCAAGCTGTAATTAGATTTGTTACAACGTCGAAAAAAAAGAGCGAAAAGAAAAATCGGTTGCGTGTCATTGAAGAAGTTCAACGACTCGGCAATCAGCGTTGTTACATGTGGGATCTCTGGTAGCACGCGAGGAATGCCACGAAAACAACGACTTTTTCGTGGCTTAATTTTCGACTTCCGTTGTAGGAAGATCGCGATAAACGCATGTCACACTGCGCCGACGAAGGTCCGCGCAGCAACAGCGCGCATAAATACAGGCAAGTGTCCGCAGCATCCGGAGTCAATTGGAATAACGCAAAACATGACGATCGTAGCACATTTTTCCAGGCTTATAACTATTAAGTGACCCGAGGATGTCCATGTAGTCGCGAGCGAACGTAAGCGAACGAGTCAAAGAGGAAGAGGCGAGCCGCCGCGAGAAACCGAGAAAATGAATGAATGGGTGACGAACGCTCGAGATATGCCTTGTTGCGTATTTATACGGCGAGATAATACAATTATCATCGAGCTCGTCGAACGCACGACATTTTTCAATCTCATAAGCGTCGCAGCAATAAGAAGTTGTAAGTAAGTAAGCAGCAGCTCGAGAGTAAGAAAGAGCAGCGACGCACGAAAGAGCGTTTAATAATAAGCGAGCTGCAAGATCTGTAAAAGGGTCCAACGTCGATTCAGCCCGCGTGGCTGGAGGAAATCTTGGCGTTGAGCGCGATCGATTCGGTTGCAACGTACACATATAGCTGCCTGCAGGCCCTTACAGATGCGTTACAAGTATAACAGCGCGACACGTCGAAAGAAAAGGTCGACAAAAGGGGGGGGGGGGGCAGGGNCAAGGGGGGGGGGGGGAGGCAGGGGAGAAGGGCTCGCGAGCGGCGAGAGTCAAATAGCGGAAATGCCAATATTAGTTGCAGCTCGACCCGTATATATAGAACATTATATGGCTCACGAGCTCGACACTCTTCGAGCGAGCCGCGCAATGTGGCACACACGCATCGATACGCATATTACGAGCGCAATAACGATCTCGTACACGACTCCGGATATGCTCGTCGCGCGTACGTATAACAGTCGATCTTTTCGCCTTGAATTTCTCGATGGACGCAGAGTCGATTTTCGGGCATTTTTATCGTGCTGCAAAGTGTCAGCACGACGTTATAAGCTGCGCAACGCCCATATCGAACAAAAGCCCCAGGATTATGCGTGCGCGGCTCGCGGGACCACGATGCACGCGCTCAACTATATACATAGGTATAAAATAATCGCCCAGTCTATTATGTATGTTAGAAGTAAAGTACGCGGGCGATGCATGAGGGTAGTAAAATCGTCAATCAAAGCTCTCTCTCTTTCTGCTGCTGCTGCTGCTGCTGGTGGTATTCCATTGTTCGGCAATTCGCGCTATTATCCATCAATTCACGCGCAATCTCCTGGTCCATTTTCATGATTTCGCTATACGTGTGCGCGCGTATTATAAAGCTAGCACAATCACGCTTGCACATACGAGCGTCGCTGGATTAATTTAAAGCCGCGTTGTCGCGGGAGCGAAAATATTTGGAAAAGTCGGTTACAGGACGGACTCGTTTGGAGAAAATGTGATTCGTGTTGCGGCGACGATGCTGATTACGATATAATAACAGCTGCGAGCTTACACGCGCGTTAAATATTATAGATATAAGAGAAAACGGCACGAAACGCGGTGTGGCACGTTCGCCGAATCGAATTTAATCAAGTTAAATAGAGTATATGGTAACTGGATGAGGCGATGACGAGCTAAACGCGCGCGAGCGACACGGCGATGATTCAACCGAGAGCAGCGCGCGCGCGACAGTCATGCAACAACGTTTTGAACGAACGCGACCGCTAACGTTTATAATAGCGCGTCAAACAGCTCCGAAGTGACAAATATACATAATAACGTATACGATGATACACCTCCTTCCTCGCGCGGCCGAATCATGCCCCGCAGTTTTCAAAGGAAGCAATTGCGGCGACGTTGTTGTGTAGGCGATTTTTATCGGCAATTAGCGATACTCGTGTATGCGCGTTGTAAACGCGGATCGACGCGAGCTTTGTGTCACATACGCACGCGGTAGCGTGTATAAATGCAGATTCGACTGGACGCACTGATTTCAATTGGTGAATTGATTCTAAAGCTCGGTTATCTCGTGCCTCCTTCTCTACAAGCACTCGTTAATGCCGAGCCTTCCTCTCGCGCTCTCCCTACATCGGGGGAGCCGACTGCGAACAACAAAGTTCGCGGCGACTCGCGAGCTCGAGAGAGGCTTTTTAAAAATAAATCCCGATCCATTGTTGCAAGCTGCGCGCGAGGGCCGATCGACCCCCATCGGCTTGAAAAATCCCCAAGATCTTGCAGAGCTCGGGCAGGTATGCTCATAAGAATCAAACAGAGAGAGAGAGAGAGAGAAGGTATAAATATAGACCGAATTGCGAGTCGAGCCATGTACATAATGTACGGTGCGTGCACCCGCAGCTTGTAAAACGGAAAACGTGGCGGTGGCGGTGGCCGGTCAATCAAGAGGCAGCTCTGCGTATAGTATAGCTCGAGAGCTGCGCGCACACATAAGCTGCAGGCAGGCCCGCGTGCACGATATAGCTCTCTCTCGCTTCGATCGCCGCTGTTGTCTGGATTGGCAGCTCTCTGTGTGTGCAGCTGAATGAAGCCTGAATAAATGCTGTGCTGCTGCTGCTGCTGCCGAGAGCTAGCTCCTTTTTCTCTCTCTCTCTCTCGCTCGTACTTGCGTAGCTCGCGCGCTTGTGTCTATTATATATCTGTATATGGGAACTGCGGCGGGGGCATATAACGCGTACGACGCGCACGTTGTAGCCCCTTTGGTATCTAAATTGTCCAATCGGTTCTTGCGCGAGGAGGAGGCTCTCTTTTTCTCTCTCTCTCTCAGCGCCTCGGTCGTGTGCGACTGTGTGCGAAAATACGTATACGTACAGAACGACTCGTTGCGACCAATTACAAGAGCAGCCGCACTATATTAAGCCAATCAAGGCTACTTTATCGCTTCAGTCGGGCTTCAGCTCTCGAGTCGGCCGCGCGGTCAAGCTCGCACACTCGTTCTCGGCTCGTATCTCTCGCACGCGCGAGCCCCGCAGCTTTCGCCAGTCAGTCAGTCAGTCAGTGCGACGCGGAGCGCACACGCAGCGACGTATCGTCGTCGGGATTGGCGCCGATCTGTCTTATTCTATACGCAAGCTCAGCAACAAGTGCCTCCTTCGAACTCGAACGCAGCGTGACACGACGTCTTGTCAAATACGATGATTTATCGCGTGTCCACGCCGGCCGCGTCCAGGTGACAACTACGCTATCGAGTGACTGACCCCGGAGTGGCCAATATCTACGACCCACGAATTCCTTGACTCTTCTCGCCATCGTCGCCGCATCTACATCGTTATCACGTAAGTCTGCAAAAACCAACGTCTCTCTTTGCAAAATAACGTCGATCAGCGAGCGCAGCTGCTGCTATATACCGAGCTGACAGCGCGTCTCTCGACTCTTGCTACCGCTCTACGCGTTATATGATAATGCACCAACACACGCGCAAACACACGTTCGTTACGATAAAAAGAGAGAGAGAGAGAGAGAGAGAGAGAGAGAGAGAGAGAGAGATGCCTAGCGTATTACGGAGGCAAAGGTCAAGCGATTTCCTGCCATTGTGGAATATCTACTCGTGTTTACTCGCGCGCGTGTTCCTATGAATGTGCTTCTTTTTTTCCTTCGTTTCTTTTATCGAGCCCGCGAAAAAATATTAAAACTCAAAAGGAATCACTTTATTGTATACTTCTCTCGCTTCCCCGTTTTCGTCGTCGACTCGACTCCGCGCCGATTTCTGTATTATATATATGCTACATGCGCCATACAGTACAAAAATCCATCAAGGACGCCACTGTTTCAAATTCACCGCCTGCGCAGCACCAGCAGGCCGATGCTGAGCTGCCATATAATATGCAATGATATGCGGATTCTTGGAACAACAACAGACTTGCGGATTGTATTATTTTACTCCTTTCTTGTGCTCGTCGTCGCAGCTTGCTCGTATTTTACGCTCTTATCGAAGTATGTATAACGTCCGTAATCGCGTGTAGCGAGGGAGAGAGAGAGAATAAAAAAACATAAATAAAAAATAAAAATAAGTGAAGCGCGAAAAACTTTCGAGTGCTTAGAGTTCGTGCGTTGCTCGAGAGATAAAAGCGAAATAAATTCAAAATCAACGATAGCTGCTGCCCGGTATTCACAGTTAGATTTTATTCGGGCACTTTTGTCCATACGCCAATGCGCCGTTTTCGAGTGCTGTAAGCCGTACTGCTCGAAAAACCTCCCAAATGAATTCGAACGAGATATATACGTCCGTTTGATTAATTCATTTGGACGAGAGAGAGAGAGAGAGAGAATGAGAGCTCGATCAACGCGCCGATTCGCGTACAGTGCACAATCACGAAGCGCGAAATCGACGAATATTTCGGGATTTATTAAAACAAGAGTAAAAAGAGAAAGAAAGTAATGTAATCGCGCGCCAATATTATCAGGACCGCAATGACGAGTTTGATAAATCGGCGAATAAAATTTATTGCAACGCGACGATCGATGAACGAGAAAACACTCGAGTAAACAACACTTCGGGTATTGAGTGACTTTATAATCTTTACTTCGCTGGCGGATAGATTTAATTATCGCATTGTATCAGGACCTCGG